CTGCCATGCTCTACTTGTGACAAGTGTGACCAACCTATCCACTGCTGCCTTTCTGAAAAGGCTCTCTAGGGGGAACGGAGAAACCAGAAATTCAAGGAAAAAAGGAAACGTGATTATATTTATTCAGAGAGCACAGTCAGAACAATGGTGCAGGTCACTGACCAAAGCAACTCACTGACTTAACCAMAAAGGACTTTTTGTTCCCTGAAGCAACGCAGTGCAACATCATTGTTAATTTAATGGAAACCCCCTATACTTTACTCGTGTTTCTAGCTTTCAAACCAAGAGTTGGACTTTGTTCATACTGCCCTGAGCCAGACTGAAGGGTATTATTCTACTATTGATTGCTCATTGGGCTGGCTTTGTACTGAGATGTGAAAGAGAAATTCATGAACATGCTTGTGCCTCTGTGGAATTCGTCATTGTGACAAAACATCTAGGTTGAAATGCCTCCTTGGAAATTAATTAGTCTTTAGATTTTAGTAACGAGTGGCTCTCCTGTATAGCCTTTAATCACAATATGGTGTGATTCAATGAATTTTGATTCAACGTTGAGATTCAATGCAGTATAATAAAACAAAGCATAAAAATTATCCCATTGCAGAAATTGAGACTATTTTGACCATCAAAAGAGTAAAATGTCAGTTTCCAAACATGTCTCATTTTAAAAGTGCAATACACTTACATATAAACTGACTCAGAATTGACAAAAAGCTCACAAAAATACGAGGCCGAGTGCAAAATTAAAAACCTACCAGGCAGCAGGTGTTTCTCACTTTCAGCCACCCACCAGGCCGTCTGACCACCACCAGCAGGTGAGGCAGGTGAAGTGTCCTACCCAAGGACATGAGGTGGATGGGGTGGGAGTTCGAACCGGCAACCCACCAGTTACGAGAAAAACCTRTACCTATTTTTGCCACTATTTCAGAGAAAACTTTAGATAGAATGTCTACCCCTGCCTTGAAAACATGTCTGCTTGAAAATGTAATGGTGTGTCTTATTGCTGCTTTAATGAGAACCAGGAAATATAAGTATGATTGTGACTCCCAGAGGATGATCCTGATTGAAAGACTGTCCATGTCATGTGAAACTGTATTATGATAAATATTTRTCTAGTTATCAATCTTTGAGGGCTTTGTTTGATTACTAAGTAACTTAATCACAGCTATGTTATTATAAACAAACCTGTTTCCACACTTTTCCATTTAATCATAAATGAATTTGATTTTAGACATAACAGACCATGGCATCTAGATTTATTCCTAAAACTGCATCCATTACTGTCTGCTCTGCCGGGCTAGCAGCACTGAATGTCTGTAAATCAGTATGTTTAAATTAAAATATGATGAAAAAATCAGAACCTAAAAGACTTTAGAGACATGCAGCAGGTAAAGAGAACAAAATTAAATCACCTTCAAAAGAAGAGAAATGACTCAAAAGACCAAAAACTAATTTTAATTCAAAAATGTGTGCTTTGAAATGAAACTTTTCAATGTTCTTTCATAAGTGTTGCCCACAAAATCAGCTTCCCTCAAGATCTAGTGGCAGAACTGTAACATGAATTGATGGRTTCCAATGTTTCCAAATTGCCTCTTTTGGTCCAAGGAAAGATTTTTTAATAGCTTGCATCCTTCATGCTGTGAAATATTGCACCTGTACATATTTAATAGTGCATTTATCATAAAAAAGTCTATATGCCTGAAAAAGACTACTGTGATTAAAGATAAAAAGGTATTACTGCATTCTAAACTTTATCTGTGGACAACCAAAACCCAGAGCAAATATTGTCTGGTCCAGTTCGAGCCCACACAATTCACTAACATTTTGACCAGATACCACAAAGAATGACGGCCATTTGGTGGGCCAAATGTGGTTTGCCAGAGGTGGTCCATCCATGGGCCAGCACCACATACACCAAACCACAAGTGGACTGGTTCTGTMATGCCATCTTAAAAGCAGTGCTTTCATTAGCACTGCAAGATCATTAGATTTCTTTCCATCAAAACATTTTTTCGCATTTTGAAGTATTGCGTTAGAAAAACTTGACTGAAATGGCTAAATAAAAAAAAAATCCTCAGTTTTGCATAAAAAAGGTTTTACACTCACTTTAGATGGCTTTTGGATTTTCTAAAAAAAGAGTTCWTGTGCAACATTGTGAAAATTTACCACATGTTAGTGCAGATCATCAGAAGTTCATGCTGTCAGCGTACATCTTCCCACAATGCACAAAAACATGGCTGCTAAAAACAAGAAGTATGTGTGGACTGGCAAAAAGACCAAAGCATTTCTCAGTCTCAACCATGAAAAAAATGAAACAATTTCAACTTGCAACATATTCCTGAAGATTTCTCTCCATTGGTCAGAGATGTGTGGTCCCTGCTAGTTTGCAACCTCTACCTCCTGTTTATTAAAGTTATGTGTAACGTAGGGTTGGGCGGTATGACCTCAAATTCATATCATGGTATAAACTGAACCCCTTCATGGTAACGGTAAATATCACTGTAGAAAATTATCATAAAAAGTTAAGATAATGTAATTTTTAGAGCTCTTTTTTTTGCAGA